CTGTCTGCATTATCTTGTCTCACTCTTGCCCACCCTCCGCCTTTCTGCACATGCTCTTGGCTCCAAAGGCTGACCTTTTAGATCGCATCTACCAACTCTCTTACACTTTGCTTTATGGTTGGTTCAGTGAGAGGAGTTTTCTAGGCAGAAAAATCAAAGAAAAGTGAGGCCAGGATATTTGTTCCCACAACTTTCTCTCTGCCAGGTACCTCTACCGCAGGCCACTGTTCCTGCCACATGGTCTACCTGATTAAGCTCCCCTGTCAGGTTCCAGTGACCCAAGCTGCTTCCCTTGTTCCTTCAGATCTGGGGATGTGAGTTACCTGTCAAGACCCTGTCTAACCCAGGAACCTTTCTAAGCTTCCTTCTTCTCTTGGTTTCTGGATAATGCTCTGTCCTCAGCCAGTCCTACCTCCCTGACTAGTCCTTTTTGGGCATTGCTTTCACAGGGCTCCAGCAGCCTCAATTTTCCTTCATAACATTGTGTGTATCAATGCTGCACTTTGCTTCATTAAAGGACAAGGGTAAAATACAAAAAAGTGTGGTTTTAGCTATAATCTTACCATACACGCACATCACTCTAGAAATATTTCTTTTCTTAAAAAAAATAAGTTTGGCTCAGTGATTAGAGTGTCAGCTCATGCACCAAAGTGTCACAGGTTTGATTCCCAGTCAAGGGCATGTATCTGGGTTTCAGGTCCGATCCCTGGTCCCAGTCAGGGCGCATGTGAGAGGCAACCAAGCCATGTGTCTCTCACAATGATGTTTCTTTCTCCACCCTCCACCCCTCCTCTCCACTCTCTCTAAAAATCAATGAAAAAATAAAATAAAAATCCTCTGCTGCAGATTAACCAAAACCAAAAAATAAAAAAGTAGTTACAAATCACTCTTTAAAAAATCATAGGTGACACATTCACCACAACCAGTGCAACAATGTAAATATAAATAAAGAAAAAAGTGAGTGCTCTTCCCCAGTGCTTCTGGAGCCTTCACCTCAGTCCCCACCTTCTCCCTGCCTTGGCCATAAATACAGCATTGAACAGCCTGGCCAGTCTTCTCTGTACCGGTCCCCATGATATTCAAACCTAGACCAAAATATATACTCACACATGGAGAAGGTAATACACTCTCTAAAGAAACTGAAAGCATCTTACTAGATGTAGATCTAGTTCGCTACCTTAAATAGTCTCATAATATTACAGAGTATAAACATACTATAATTTATCTAACCATTTCTCTACTGATGAAAATTCGAAAAATTTTCAGCTGTCTTTGGTACTACAAATAATGCTGCAATAAATGCCCTTATGCATATATTCTTATTAATGCATCTATTTATGTAAGCTAAATTCCTAAAAGTAGGTTGCTAAGTCAAAGTTATATATATATATATATATATATATATATATATATATATTTCAACTACTTAAGTAATTTCACTTACTTTCTTAAAAGTATATAGCAATGTATTTCCTGTTATCTTAATTCCTTATTTGTTCTATATGGATATAAGATGGTATATGCAATTTTTGAACATTATTTTCTTTCTTAGCATTAATACAGATAATTTTCTATACGTTTTCTGCAATAACCTTTCTATAGTAAATCTTAACATCTGTCCATTAATGTTGTAAAGTTTCTTTAAAATTTTATTGGAATTGCCTCAAACCTCAATATTACATCTACTCCCCTATAATATATATGTAGAGAAGAATTAAGGGTTTGACAGTAGCATTAGATATAATAAAATCTATTACACATATGCCTCTCAACCCTCAATCAGTTGACTTAACTACATCTTTTCCTGGGCACAACAATTGGACAAGTGAGTCATCATATCAAGAAGAACTATGCCTGAGGCATATGCTTCCATCACCACCCCAGTGGTTTCAATCAAAGGAAAAGATCACGAGATGGCTGAGGAGCACACTGCAGCACTGGACATTTTCCTGAGGATGGGGAGCCAAGTTCCATGTGATTCTGCTGGCTTTAAAGGGGTCTACTGAAGATCAAAGGTAAAAGAAACCATCGAAACAGAAAGGAATTCAGCCCCAAAGCTGCTGCTATGCAGGCTGGCACAGCTAGAGTCTCTCAAGGTTTGAGAAAATACCACAAAGGCTTGGGAACATACTGCAGCAGTTTCCATCCCAAAGTAAAAGACCATAAAACCAATTCTAAGGTGGGGGAACGGGGGAGAGAAGGAGGATGAGAAGAGAAATCTGGCCACTACTCATTGTTAGTATATTCTCTATTTGATCATATCACCACCAGACAAGAAAGTCCTGTGTGTACCCCTTGGAATGGAGAGTTAGGAAAATTACAAAACTAGCAGGATGTGACCAATACCTCTGAGCTATCTCCTCTGTGGATGGAGATGTTGGCTTTAACGGCTTGGTCCTGTGGGAAGGAGAAGCGGATTTCACTCTTTCCTGGGAATTACTACTTGTCCATAACACTTAAGAATCTTCCAACTGGAAATGGGTCTGATTACTTTTGCCAGCCTTAATCTCCTACTAAAGCAGTTAATGGGAGCTTTCAATAATGCTAATCACATCACTTCAGTAAAATACCTTCGTGTTATTTCCACAGGAAATAAATGTCCATAGACCATAAACTCAACCTGGTATTAGCTGACATGGGAGAAAAAGGGGGAGTGGATGCAGATAAAGGCGCACTGTGCAGATAGTAAATGAATTACAGACCCCTCCTCTGGGCTGTGGGGACTGCCTGAGGCCTCTGTGGTGGGAGCAAAATAAAGTTAAAAAGGCAGCTGGAAGCAGGAAAGTCCTCCTGTCTAGATCCACCAGCTGCAGGAAGTCACTGATGGGTCCAGAAAAAGAAGAGGACTCATGGCTGCAGAAAGGGGGAATTAAAGGGAGGGCAGGAGACAAGAATCCCTCCCTTAATGGTTTTCAAAAGAGGGCCAAGCTAAGAGCTAAAATTTGGATGTCCTGGGGCAGTGGTCGGCAAACTCATTAGTCAACAGAGCCAAATATCAACAGTACAAAAATTGAAATTTCTTTTGAGACCCAAATTTTTTAAACTCAAACTTCTTCTAACACCAACTTCTTCAAAAGAGACTTGCTCAGACCGTGGTATTTTGTAGAAGAGCCACACTCAAGGAGCCAAAATGCCGCATGTGGGCTGCGAGCCAGTTTGCCGACCACTATACTATGTTGGGGGAAGGTCCTAGCAAAAGGGAAGTTATTCAGGCCAGAAAAAAATGGTCCCTCCGCACCCCTATTCTCCTTTCCTCTTTCAACGCCTTTCATAAAGCTGGATGCACAGGGGGTGTCCCTGCCAAGGAATCCCTGTGATTCTAATGACTGGCTCAAGATCCCCATGGAAGACCTGGGACTAAAATACAGGAAGTGGTTTGAGCGATTGTATGGAAAAGCCAAGGAAGGAAGTAATCATCTGTTGAGCTTGTCTCTCCGGGTGCTGCATTGACCCACGTATGGCAGATAATATCTTTTATATAGAAAGAGAACAACAAAATAAAAAGATAACTCTAAGTCAGGGGGAAAGGTTTATGGATGCTCAATGCATGTACACTTTCTGGGATGAGGAACACATAGAATCCTAGGATTTGGTGATTTCTAAAAAGAACCATCAGAGTGAAGCTAGCCATTCTTCAAGAGTCTCTGACCTAATAATAATAGAGAGCTTATGTTCCAAATATTTCGAAGTATGCATAGTATTCAAGAATTTTCATCACTAGGGTTTCAGAATACATGCTTATAAAATCTACAATTCTATGGCTTTCTTGATGACACAGATTGGTTATATTATGAAAAAAAGCAAGAGTTATCAAACTAAGATCAATATATTGCAAAAACAAAATGAAACCATATACCACGTTGTTTAAAAGCCAGCCTCTGGACCAATGATCTAGAAACATTTATTAAAATGTCAAGAATTCAAAATAGAAAGCTTTTGAAGTTTTTCTTTACTACATAAATATTTTTATCTCAAAAAATTGCCATGATCTTTGCTCTAACCTGTGAGAGACCATATATTATGTTACAACTATTCCCTAGACAAAGCATTGACCATATGGTGCTAAAGCACCGCTGAAAAAGAACCTGTTATCCGCACGATGGCACACAAGACCCTGCGCATCTGGCCACACTGGCCTGGAAAATGTAATGAATACTTCTTACACACTGCCGTTTTTGGTCTTATTGGACCCACTTACAGAAGCCCCAAATAATGTTCATGTAAAACCTTAAAGTCACATTAAGCACATGAGCCAGATTGTCTCTGTAGCACCTTTTGCATAAGAAATGATGTTGCACCAGGAGTGGTAGGAACCCATAAATAAGTTATAATTTCAGAACAAATGTTGCTTTGTGCTCCTTTAGGAAATTTTAAAAAGAGAGAAGTTAAAAAAAATCTGAGTTAATTCTCTTCAAAGTAAACTGAATTCATCTCTCCTCTGGTAAAAAACAAAAAAAAGTTTTTGTCATAAAATAATGATGTTACAAAGGTGATTACTAAAAAGAAAAACAAACAACAAAAACCTCTACCAACAGACACAGCGCACTTTTGCTCTTCTTCTCAGAGAATCCCAACAAACTCAAGCCACTCAGCAGCACCGCCAGCAAAATGCAGGCCAATGGGCCGATTACCCAGGGTTTGCATCAAAGGCAGCGACAAGTTACTACTTCTCCCTGCTCGTTCGTTCCTGTTCCTTTGAGTCCTGTGGTAAGCAACCACAGAGGCAGCCTTAGCGTAGGCCCACCAAAATAAAACAAAACAAAGACATTTACAAAGTATTGCTTCTGGAAGCAACGACAACCTTGACTCCGTAAGTAAATACCGTCCTCTCAATCTCAGCACTCCCCTATACCATACTCAGTTTTCTTGCTAAAAGCAGAATTGACTAACAGGCCCAGGAATGTTGGTCCATTGCTCACTGACCTGTCCCTGAATAGCACAAGCAGTTTGTGAATCATCCCCCCAAAAAACTATGTAAAGCATCTGAAACAGGGACTAACCTGGAGATGACTGGTGCTGAGGCTGAGCTGTGATCCTCCCGGGCCCCAAGATCTTTTCCAAAGGCTCCCCAGGCACCAACCGAGGTTGGTCTGCTCTGAGGAAGGCCGAGCTGGCTCCTTTGGTCTCCGTGACCTTCGCAGAGGATGATGGCTCCAAGGTGTCAGCAGGGGTGGACCCGGGGAAGGTACCACTTTTTCTACCAGGAGAGTCATCAAGAGTGGCCTCCCTTTCTCCAGGCAGCCGGAGGGGCCTGTGGTGCTGTGGAGGGCTGGGGAGCCTTGGAGAGAGAGGCAAGGGAACAGGTGACATCCGTGTGTGTGTGCCAGACTGAGAGGATGAATTATTAAATACCATGCCCAGAGCTGGTGGGGGCGGCCTCTCACCACCTCCGCCCTGTGAGGAGTCAGGGCCAGCACTGCAGGGCAGATCCAGAAACAAGGTCTTGTGGCCGCTCAGAGACCGCCCAGCTCTCCTCTTGCTTCCAGTGTCCGGGAGGGTGCGGGGGGCTGTCCTGCTGAGGGGGAAGCCCAGCCTCTTGCCCTCAGTGGCTTCAACTAACTTCTCACTCTCTATCACCTTCAGGAGGACCTTGTTCACAGCCCCCTCGGTGCTGGCTGGAGGACATTCCCTGGCCGGTGACTGCCATGACCCGTCCCCGAGCTGCTCCTTGCCCTGCTGCTTGGAACCAGGAGCCCCAGCCTTGGCTGCTGGGAGGGTGAGCACGTCTGCGCTGGGAATGAACTCAGCTTGGGCTGCTAGGCAAACAGCAAGCTTTCCTTCGCCCTCAGGATGCATTTGAACTACTCTGTGCACCTGAGCAGACAGGTCCTGGACTTTGGCCACCACTTTGGAAACATGTTTCTTCCTGTGAGTCCGCTCAGCACACTTCTCCCTCCGGCCCCTCTCTATGGGTGGATGCTTCTCGGGGTGCTTGTGACTTCCAGAGAAACCGGTCTGCTGATGTGCCGGCCTGTGAGGCGCCCTTGATAGCTCCTCAGCACCACGGTCCCCTGGCTCCGTGGAGCTGCAGTCAGGGGGCGACCCTCCTCTTCCAAGCTCAGCATCCTCAGAAGTGAGCCCGAAGCTCCCAAAGCCAGGGTCAGGGTCCAGCGTCCTGGCGATCTCCGGGGGGCAGCTTTCTCTCTGCCGGGAAGAGGAACGGGCCCTACCTGGGAGCAGGTAGTCTCTCTCCTCTAAAAGCCCATGATTAGGCCTCTCTCCAGAAAGAGGAAGGGAGTTGCCGGAACAGATATGGTCCCTCCCCATCGGAGGAGCCGATTCCTGGCCCCCACGCCCTTTTCTTCTTGTCCTCTTCTGTGGAAGCGCCTCCGTACTCTCTCCCCCTCCCCCAAACCTCCGGGGCTTTTTGCTCCTCTTATTGAGACAGCCCACGAGGGGCTCTCCCTGCAAGCCGCCAGCACTCTGGAAACAGTCGTCCTCAGGGGCCAGACTCACAGACAGCTCCGGCAGCTTCCCCTCCTGGCTCCCCATCGTGATCCCCAGGATGTGGTCTGAGCTGAGGAGATTGGCCAGCAGTCTCTCCCTCTCTGCTGTGAGTTTGTACAGCTCAGTTAGGATGTCCTTCGTGGGAGTCTGCTTGAAAAATATGTCCCCTGGATGTTCATCCGGCTGTAGACTGAGGCTGATGGCGTCTGACCCCTCCCTGACTTGGTAGCAGTTCTGAAATGCCTTATTGGATCTGTCTAGGGTTACAGTGCCCTTGTATGAAAATCCTCGGACTTCCCCCCGTGGAAGGTAGAAGCTGATGTAGCAGAGTTCAGTAATGGGCTTACGCAATCGGAGGGAGCAGTGAGTGCCTTCCATTATGCCTGCCTAATTATTCATGCCTCAGAGATGCTGGTCTGTGGTCAGGCTTCCCAGGCTCCAAGGCTGGGGCATGTGATGGTGGCCACGCAGAGAGAGCAGCTGACCGTCATCTCCAGCAGTGAGACTGCCTGAGGAACAGGGGAAGAAAGTAGCTTGTCTAACAGAGTGGATAAATCACACACCAACATAAATCAAAGCATCCCATGACTTAGCCTTCCTCTCGGGCTGTCCTCAACCAATCCAGGCATTAGCCAGGAGGCTGGCTGCAACCTCTTCCCCACTCCCACCCCGCCCTGGACCAGGCAGAGCTTCTCTATAGCTGAGAGATGCGAGAGTGCTCAAATGTTAGCCCCAAGAAAAAAGTTCCTTCTTCCCACATGGGAACTCACTATATACCTTAAAGAAGGACTCTCAACTTCACTAGGCTTCAGTTTATGTTCTTCTATGTATCTCCCATAAATCCCATGGTAAGGGGACTTTGAGATCCTTAGACAACAGAGGCATTTTAATAACCTGTTTTTGGAATATCGTTTTTGCAAAAATAAGACAAGCCTTTTTACTCTCCAAAAAGCACTTTCTAAGATTTGACATTATCTATTTAACTTAGAGTACAATTGGGAAAAGGTATTCAGCCACATATTTGGATTTTTTTTCTAAACACAATTCATATTTTGCCAAAAGAACTAAAAGTGAAAAATTTAAAGTTTAAAATTTAAATAAGTGATTCAGTAGTTTTAATCAAGTTTTTTTCTTTTTCTTTCATCCTTCTTGCCCACTTAAGACCAAATGGAATAAAGAAAAAGCAAAAATCCGACAGCCAATGCTAGCCCTATATAGGTTTTCAAATATCTTCACCATTGGAGTGACTAAAACATCACATAATCAGTAAAGGTGGCTGTTCTCTCCTGTAATTTGAGGTATCCCAGGAATATCTCTGTGGCTAACATCTTTACACACAAGCATGGAGATTAGAATTCTGTAATATAGCACTTCATTTCTTCATTTAAGGCTTCCATGCTTAAAGGAAATCTCCTTGGGAAGGAAAACACAATAGTCATTTATTTACCATTGATATCGTCAGTGAATGATTTTCTCAAATCTTTTCTAATTGGTACTAAAGAGTAAAAAGCTATACAAGGGTTCATTTTAAGTGGAAGAAGAGTAAAAGGAAGATTAATTTTATAATTGAATCTCCTCGAAGAAGAGTGATAAAATGAAGGTTAAAAACAAACAGAAGTGCCAAATGGGCTCAGAGTATTTTCAGAAAAAGAAGTGGAACAACATTTTTAAAGTACTGAAAGAAAAAACCTGTTATCCCAGAATTTTATATCAAATAAAAAATATTTTTCAATAATAAAGATAAAATAAAGACATTCTCAGATAAAGTAAAAGTAAAAAAATTAGTTGTAAGCAGACTTGCTCTAAACAAATTTCTAAAGAAAGCTCTTCATACAATGAAAATGTTACAGGAAGAAACTTGTAACACCAAGAGTGAAGAAAAAGCAAAGGAAATGATAAATATGAATATAATATTCCTCCTTTCTTGAGTTTCTGAAAAGGTGTTTGGGGAGGAGAACCAAGATGGTGGCATAGGTAAGTGCAGATACTCACTGCCTCCCACAATCACATCAAAATTACAACTAAAATACAAAACAGTCTTCATCCAGAACCTCTTGAAAGCTGCCTGAATGGAAGTCCTACAACTATAGAAGTAAAGAATAAAGTACATTGAGACTGGTAGGAGGATGAGAGGCACAGAATGGGCTGGAAGGTGGGCTGCTTTTTTAATTCAGAGGGAGATTGTCTCTGCAGGGGCCGCCATGAAGAGCAAGGGATCACAGACCCACATCAGATACTGCACCGAGGGACCAGAACTAGGAAGAGAAATCCCCATAACATTGGGCTAATAAAAGAGTAATATGCTAATTAGACCAGACAGATTCCAAACATCCATCCTGACAAAGCCAGGGGCATCGCCAGCCTGCAAAGGACCCTAGGCCCCTCGTTTAGGCTCACCATGCCCCCAGTGGGGATCCTCACCTTGATCGGGGCATGGCCAGCCTGCAAACAGCCCTCAGCCCCTTGCCCAGGCTAGTCCCACCCCAGAACAGACCCCCCACCCCAAAGGGGGTGTGGCTCGCCTGCAAACAGCCCTCAACCACTCATCAAGGCCTGCCTTACCTTCCAGTAGGGATCCTCAACCCAATTAGGGGCATGGACAGCCTGCAAACCACCAGGCCCCTCACCTAGGCCAGCCCTGCCCCCAAGGGGACCCCTACTTTGATCAGGACCCTCTTCAGGGCAGACCAGCCAGCCCTCACCCATGCACCAGGCCTCTATCTATACTAATAAAAGGATAATATGCTAATTAGACCAGACGTCCTTCCAAATAAAGTCATGGTAGCAGGGCCAAGGCAGAGATGGTTAGTGATGATCAGGTCTGCAGGGGAGACCAGTTAGCGAGATCAGGCCAATAGGGGAGAGAGTTAGGGGGATCATGCTAGCAGGGGAGAGCAGTTAAGGATCAGGCCGACAAGCAGGCAAGCTGTTAGGAGCCAGTGGTTCTGGATTGTGAGAGGATTGGGCCTAAACCAGCAGTTGGACATCCCCCAAGGGGTCCCAAATTGGAGAGGGTGCAGGCTGGGCTGAGGGACACGCCCTCCACATGCACAAATTTTGTGCACCAGGCCTCTAGTAGAAGATAAAAGGAGTGAATTTTTGATTGTGCAAATGTTAAGTTTGTGGCAGGGTACACAGAAAACATAAGTCCCCGTCAATTGTAAAAGAAAAGTGTCCCATTCCTGGAATTATGAAAAAATTTTTAAATGTTGCAGAGTACCTGGCTGGAGTGGTTCAGTTGGTTGAGCATTGTACTATACACCAAAAGGTTTCCAGTTTAATTCCTGGTCACGGCACATACCTGCATTGTAGGATTGTAGGTTCAATCCTCAGTTGGTGAACATAGAGAAAACAACCAATAGATGTTTCCTCTCTCTCTCTCTCCTCTCTCTCCCTGCCCCTTCCTTTTTCTACATATATCCTCAGTGAGGATTCAAAAATGTTTTACTTTGCTTCTAAGGGAAAATACTCTTCTAAAAGTTTCTGGGGAATCCAAATCCAGGTGCAAATAGGGTCTTCATGCCAGGTGTTCACAATTTCTGAGTTTCCAATGATCAGATAAGCAAGTAGAAAAAATACTTCTAGTACCTCTTTCTCTAGGCCTTATCCTTTAACAAAAAGTTCAAGCATAAGACATTATAAGCAATGAAAGGTATGGGTTGACAACTGAAGTGAATTATTTTAATTATAAGGATTGTCACTGGAAAAGAAGTTTCTCCTCTGAATGCACACCAGCACAGGTATTAATACATCAGTGGCACAAAGACAATCCGACTTGCCTGAATTTGGCAACAATAAAGCATGTCAGAGGAAACTTATTTTAAATTTTTCTTGTTTTCTGATCATAGGAGGAGTTTGCTTTGCTACAATTGGGGGCATCCAAAGTCTAAATGATTTAAGATAGATTACTGCAAAGAAACACAAACATTTTTCAAAAGCTTAGTTTCCCATTACCTTCCATAGTTTGGACTTATTTTTACAAAGTTGTTGTGCACATCCTCCACTATCCTCAATGAATATTTACTAAGCTGCCTCCATCTGGAACACAGAATAACTATCCATGGGTCTTCCAAACTCTCTCTCTCAATCAAAGAAAAGACTGTCAGAATTTGGCCTAGCATCCTTGCCTGTGACTGTATCTAGATACATGCATCTCATGTACTTTCTTCTTTCAAATTTCATATCCTTTATGAAATGAGAAATTTAATCTATAGGTTTCCAATCCAATAATTAAAAATATTATTTGGTGATACCTACTAGATGACCAAAGATCACAAAACTCCTCCTTTTTGAAGAAGACAAATGTATGCCCTGAGAAAATGAACTTGAACCTCACACTTTAGTGCACACCATGTCACAAGAAGGCTTTGGAGCAAGGCACACTCTTGCCTGTGACAGTCCATTAGCAAGTCAGAGTACCATGCTGAATCATCACACATATTTTTCATCTGAGAAACCAAAGGTAAAAGCACTGTTAAATCTTAAGAGGAACAACAAGAAGAATAACAAGGAAAGCACTATGGGGTGGAGTTAAACACATCAGCACTGCAATTTCATGCTGAGTTCACAGGACTATTTCAAGCAACATTGCGTCATTCTACTTGAACTAAAAGGCAACAAGTTCACAGGCTGCATACACTAAATTACACATCTTAATTTGGTATACGAAGTAACCTTCTTTGCTTGTGCTCAACACAAGAGCACTTTGTATCCTAAGAAATCTTCATGTCTTCCATTTCCTCTGACAGAGTGCAGGCTGACATTCTCTACAAGACAATACTGCTAATGGTGACTTCTTCCCTGACTCTTTTTGTGACTCTACCCAAAATGGAAAGGGCTATTGTATCTCATTATAATGGGAAATTATCGCCTTTTAGTAGATGCTATTCAATGCTCATAACATATTTCACCAATGCCTAAAATAAGATCCAAGAATTAGTTGGAGTCATTCTGTCTGCTTATGTCTGTAGATTTTCTAATTGATTTTGGCCCTAAAAGACAATCAGTGCAAAGCTTTACTCATTCAGCTATGGGCACAGTCATACCCTATGACTCCATCTGAGCCAAATACTGCTAAGATAGATAACTATAACTTCCATTATTAAACTGCAAATTGTCTATTGTCCAATCAGATTCAGACTACACCCTTCCATACACAAATATAAGCATCAAGAGACCAACTTTTATGGATTCAATCAATAAGTTTCATTGCACTCTGACTTCTACTGGATTTAGCCATTGGTAAATACTAGCAGCAGATAGAAGGAAGCATGGAAGAGGGTTGGAATATACATTTCCTGGCTACATCCTTCCTAGGCCATGGTTTTTCTGTAGGCGTGTCCCAGCTCCTCTTGGATAGCCTTTCCCCAGCTATAGCT